CCAAAGGCCTATCCATGTGTACCTCTCTGCATCTGGTCTCCTAGTTCCAGCAGGGGTGATTCTCTTAGAGGCAGGGCAAACAGGAGACAGTTCACTGGCACCTGTTCCATGCCCCCCATTTGGTGGAATTGTAGGGAAGCAGAGCCACATTGACAGTCTACTCCACTCCCGACCTTGCCAGAGTGGTAGTGGAAGGGGGGAGTGGAGCTGCAGGTCACCACAGACCCCTGTCACACCCACTTGTCAAATAGCAGGCCACTGCATAGAGCTAAGGTGGTACTGAAGTGCTCAAGCTGGGGTATGTAGCAGGGCTCTGTACATGCCTGTGTGTCTAAAATATTCCATTTTTGAAGTGCTTCAAAGTGCAGCTTCACTTTGCAGTGCTTGAAGTGTTGCATCTGCTCCCACCCTCTGTAACGAATGCATTCGTTCACAGCCTTTCATCAGAGGATAAGCAGCATATTTTAGATTTGCTATGTTAAAACAGGAAAAGGAATGGATTAAGAGTAGGTGTTCTTACCTCAATAGGCTGAGGATCATTCAGATGAGCACTGAGGTCCATCAACAGCTGGGGCATCCAGGTGGGTACATCATAGGGACTTGACAAAATACACGCACTAAGTCCTAGCACACCAGCATGGCGCTTAACCAAGTCTGCAATGGAAAGACAATAACAGAGCTGTGGCAGTATATGCTTCTAACATTTAAGATACGCTTCCATGGCAGACGCAGACCAAACTTCACTGTCAGTAATTCCAGCTCTTTCATTATTTTTAATGGAAAAGGCACACTGTAAAATCTACATTCCCTACTTTACAGCAGTATACTATTATTTATGATTTATGCTGCAAGATTATTCAATGCATCTATTTGAAATCAGGATTTTACAAGCAGGTCTCCTTCTCCCTGTGTCATGCACAGGCACAGGCAAAAGCAGAGACTGATGAACAAAAATCATCATGATGGTTTACAAACATTTAACTGTAAGTCTCTATAAGCAAACACCTGCACTGGGGGGCATGCTCACATAATCAGCTGGTGAAAGAACATAGAACATTTTAATCTTCCTTAGCCAGCTTTTTAAAAGGTAGAGCTTGCTTTTTTACCTCCAGAAGGAATGGTATCTGCTACGGTGCCAGGGTCTCGTTTTCTCTTTTTTGGTAACCTCATCTTGCAGAGCTGTTCAAAGTGAGTCTGCATGGGACCATCCATAGTGAGGAAGTTGCACTGTAACAGACCACTCAGTGTGGTAGCAGCCATTTCTCTCACCTGTGATAAAAGAGATCAGATGCATCAATTCCCATTTAATGTCACTGCTGCCCTTTTGAGCCTGTCAGTCAAGTCACTGTGTTTGAGAAGTGTTTCAAATTTTATCTCCTCATCGTCACAGGCATTAAATACCACCATTAATATTAAAATGGTCACTTACAAACAAACAAGCAAGCAAGCAAGCAAGCAAAATTGATAACCACAATACACCCGCAGTTAAAACCTCTCCTCCTACAAATAGCCAAAATTAGTGATCTATGCCCCGAGCCTTTTTTTGGAAAGGGTGGCATATAAAATTAATCATTCTTTGCTCCCACCATTTATTTAACTCCAGCTTTAAGCAACTTACACCGTAAGCTATGTGATTTTTTGAACTGCTAAAAATATTACGTGTATGCTGACAAATATGTCCTCTCAAGCAATTTACAATGCCTCTTATTTATACCTTTTCTACTGCAGTAATATCACAATTACAGAGATACCTGCTTTATCCATTAATGTAACCACTGTATTAAAATCAGTTTACATAGGAAACACGTAGATAACTTCTACTCTTCCATATTTTACTCACTCCGTGTGGAACACAAAAGACCTGACAACAGCAACATCATCTTCCTAGTGTGCAAATTTAAAAATGTAGGTTCACAATACAGATTACTCTAGGTGAATGTTGTGAAGCTGTCTACAGCACAGAGAATTAAAGACTAAAGCTACCTCCTTTCTAGTCATAATGCAAGAATTCTATGGCATCTAAGTAATAAAACTGATATTATTAAACAAGAGTAGTATGTAGTTACTAACTCAATCCTATAAAACTAAGGCACTCATTCACTTTACTGCCATGGGCCCTAGTCAAACCATCAGTAAAATTTCTTTATACCATCTCTGGTCACTCATTACCAAAAGTACAAGACAAATCACAATTTAAGCTGGTAAGTCATGCATTCTTAGTAAAATAGTTTATTTTTTAATTCAATTAAATTTATTTTTAATTGTATTTGCAGCCAAATTTACTGTTGGCTTCCAAAACTAGGTATGCTTACTCAGTCATGTCCCCATTCTTACTCTGTCATTAAAATCAATTAATTTAATAAAAGAGCTAGAACTATAGGTTCTGCCTTATCTCAAATGTGATCCTACCAGTAAGTTCACTTCTATTAAAGTTTCACACACATACTAGCTAACAAAAGACTCCAAACTTTTAAAAATCTGAGTTAAACTTGTTAAAAATATTGACAGCAGTTGCCACATTTGGCGGTAAGTACATACTGTTACACTTAACTGTAAGCAGAACGTTCATCTATCTAGAGTACAAACACCTACTAATGCTCCGAATCCAATGTAGAAGATTACAATAAATTACATCCTTGAACATAATGTTCTGAACTTCCACAAAGCAGCAAGTATAGCTGCAAGTGCTGTGATAATTAAACAGTGAGTTAACAGTAGACTCTTGAGACATCCTTCCCTTCCATTTATATTTCCACAGTGTATTAGTCAAACGTGATCAACTTTATTAACAGCATAGAAAAGTATGAAGTGAGAGCCTGCCAGTATTGGTTTTCAGCAATTGGTGAGCCTCATAAGGAGTATGCTATTAAATGAAACATGAAGTGCTAATGCAAGTCCCAGAATAGGAGGAAGCTTGGCTGTAAACTGAGCAAACTCACAAGGGATCTGTAGTCATTCACTTTACTGTTCACTGTATTAAAATCCATTTTCAATAGCCTCAGATTAAAAAAAACTTACTAACAGGAACCCATCGTTGAAAGGAACATTTAGAAATAATGCCCTTAAAATTAGAGGTGCACCAATACACTCGTCCATACTGTATCGGCAATGATAAAAGGAAATTTGACATTATCGGCAATTGGCTTTTCTTGGCTGATATGGCCAATAATGTCACTGATAAATGCAGCATGCATGTGCGCAGCTGCAGCATGCATGTGACCAGGAGTGCAGCTCGGCAGCTTGGAGAACAGCATCTGGATGGCAAATCTGTTGCGGGGGAAGGAACATTGGGGTGGGGGTGGAAACAAATCGAGGTCCCCACGGTAAGGGAGGGAGTGGGGCTGGGGCAGGGATAGAGGCTGCACAGCCGGGGCAGGGCGGGGCATGGGACAGAGCTGATGGCTCATCTGGGGGGCGCAGGGTGGCTCCCACCGTGGTGTGCATCCCTGGGGGGGGCACGGGGGGGGGGGAAATGTTCCCCCTCCCCCATCCCCCCCCCGATTTGTGTGTGGGGACAAAGCGGGCTGCCTGCTGTGCACTCAGGTCCAGGGCTGCTCCACCCTCTACCTGGTAGCTGCACTTGGCAGGGTGGGTGGCAGTGGTGCTGGGAGGGGGCCTAGAGCCACCCCAAAATTTGCAGTCGCCTCCCCTTCCAGTACTGCTGCCACCTGCCCCACCCAGCCCGAGCCTGAGCATAGCTGCTGGGAAGAGGCTGGAGCAGCCTGAGCCACAAGCATGCAGTGGGCAGCCCACCCTCACCCTGTGCAGATTTGGTGGGGGGCCTGCGGTGCAGCACATGCCCCCCACGCATCCCCCAGGGGTGCGTGCAGAGGCAGGAGCCACTCCCCTGGGCCCCTGGATAAGCTGCTGACATCACCCTGTGCCCTGCTCAGCAGGGCAGAGCCTGCCCTTGCCCCACTCCCTCCCTTACTATGGAGGCCTCAATCTGCTCCCCCCATGCCCCTTTCCCCCAACAAACTTACCAGCTGGATGCTGGTCTCCATGTTGCCAGGCTGAACATCAGCAATCGGTATCGGCCCAATAAACCTTTATCAGTGCACCCCTACTTAAAATTGTACATACTTATAGCTCTCACATAGCTGTATCACAGCTCACTAACAACTTAGATTTAAAAACCTACAGATTCATATGATGATGTAAAATCCAAAGAACAGAAGTGTTCTTTGAAATGTTTTTCATTTACAATAGATTTTCTAATATCCATTTATATAGAAGAAATCAAACTGCTGTCAGTGGCTTCCTTTTAGTTAATGATAACCGATAGTCTTTAGTGACGCACCAATACTAAAACAAAAAGGGAGTAAGCAAGCAAAATGAAGACAAACCCCACAAAGGAAAAGGTGGGATCAAGTAATCTCAAAAGAGTACACTGCACAACAAGTCAGCAAGTCAGTTGCCTAAATACCTTTGTAAGTGTGGGCTTAAGGTTCTTAAAAAGAAGACTACAGTGAAATAAAACAGATTCTAGCCAGGACATTTAATTGTGATATAGAGTAAATTAATAGAGATTTTTTGCTGCGTATAAAGTATAAAAAGAAAAAGAAAACAGCTGTTCTCTGGAGAACTTCCTAAAACAGATTAGAAGAGGAGAAAAGAGAATCGGAGAAAAGCCCCAATTGAAGCTGGCCTGAGGTAGGTTATATAAATTGACAGTCTGGTTCATTTAACACAGGGGTGGGCAAAATGCGGCCTGCGGGCAGGATGTGGCCCACCAGGCCATTTTATCTGACCCATCCGGCCCCTAAAAAATTTAGAAATTAATATTTATTTGTCCCAGCTGTGTTCATGCAACCCTCGATTCCAAAACTCAGTAAGTGTCCCTCCACTTGAAATAATTGCACACCCCCGTCAATCTCATTTTAAACGTCAGATGTTTTGCTGTTCAGAAAGTAAACATTTTAAGGGACCCTTGGGTGGATATGTGTGGGTGGTTTCACTTGTTAGATTTTAATATCAAAATGGAGCTGTATAATAAAGGCTGCAGAACATCAAGCACTAATTCCTGCATCCAACTAAATAACTTGTAGTTGGGACTAGTACATATCATTTGGAAAGGCAACTGATTCTAACACTTCAAGGAATAAAGAATCTGTTACTTCTATGCAAGATGTTCCAGTGGATAGCTGCCTTCACTTAGAAAAATCTGTCCCATATTTTCAATTTGATATCTCTAGCTTCAGCTTTTAGTCATTGGACAAATGTCCTCTCAGTTAAAGAATCTTGAAGCATCTGATACCCTTGCTCTACAAATATTCCAGACTGATCCAATCACTAATTAAACTCAACCCCGCCCCCGAATCATTTTAGAAGACAGGCTTGAACCAGACAGTACTCCAGTAGTGGTCGTCTCCCCGGTACGGTTTGCAGAGGCAATCACTTCCCTTGCCTTCAATCTATTTCTCTTGTCCGTATACCTCAGAATCACAATTGCTCTTTCACACACGAGCCAGCTCATGATCGTTAAAACTCCTTTCTGGTCAGCACCTTCACAGTGCATTAAAATTGGTGTTTTATTGCATCCAAGCCACCAAGCGATCCAGATTAATTATGTAACTGGAAAGTCTGTCATTTATTAATTTTGTACCACCTGAAAATTGTATCAGCAATGGTTTCATGTGGTGTTTTTTTCCCTTCAAATGACTAAGAAAGATGTTGGATAATGTTGAACTAAATGGTAAATCCTGCGACCCCCACCAAAATTTGAAGAGTTAAGGTTTAAAGAAAAAAAAAAAAAAAAAAAGTGAGCCATCAATTTTAACATTTTACTGAAAAAAAATGCTTCAAAAATTGAGAACCCATATGTTAAGTTTCAGCTCAAAAGAAAGATATAAGCCATTCAAAATTAGATTTTATACTGAAATCATAAGCTTCAACTTAAAAACAGAGCATAATGAAAGCAATTCTGTGGTAAATGCTGAACAGATTGGAATTTGCCAATCCCTATAAAAAAAAGGATTGTCACAGTAAAGCAAAGTTTCTATGGAAACAAGATCATAAGCACTTATTCCATAAACAAGCCTTTTCTTATTTATATCCGAGCAATACAAGGACATACCTTTTATCCAATATTTGCACATGGACTTATTAAAAAATGAACAAACCACTTAAAAAAAAATACTATCTAGTTGTTCTAAATGCCCTGACTGGAAAGGGTAACGTTAAACAGGCTCACTGGCTTATTCTAACACTACAGTATGTGACAGGTATGCAGAAGCTCTGCTGAAAAATGGAGTTGACACTACAGCAGGCGTCACCAACTGGTTGATTGCGATCAACTGGTCAACTGGAGAACCCCTGACAGTCGATCTCAGTCTGGGGGAGCCCCCCCAGACTGAGATCGACTGTCAGGGGCTCCACAATCGGGTGCGGTGGGACGCACATGGGGAGCAGCCAGGACACAGCCTGGGAGCAGTGGGATGTATGAGTGGTGGGATGCATGTGGCTGGGCTGAGCCGCCCCCCCTGCCACCAGGGTCAGGCAAGTGGGACAATCCGCCTCTGCACCCCCTGCCACCAGGTGAGTGGGGCCCCGGAGGGGTCAAGGGAGGGCCAGAGCCTGGGTGGCTTGTCCTGGAGCGTGGAGGGCTCCCACTGCTGTGCGCACCCCGGTGGAGGCCTGGGGGACACATGTCCCCCTGATTTGTGCGTGGAATGAGGCAGCTGCTGCTGCACACTGGGTTTTGCATCCCAAGCCCCACTGTAGCTCAGGGTGCAAAGTGACCTCGTGCCATGCACAGATCCCGGGGTGCGGTGGGGGGTGGTGGTGATCATACATGTAGCAGCGGGAGTCCCCCCATGCTCCTGGACGAGTCGCCTGGGCTCTGTCCCTCCCTTGGCCCCCACTCACCCCATCACCAGAGGGGCCTCAATCTGACAAACAAAGCTGAAGAGCCAGATCCAAATGGTCTTCACAGATGCCAACAATGACACTGCCTAAAATTTAGGCAGCTTATCCTATAAGGCAAATTCTAAAGTTTGGCACCTACAGTTTCTCTACAGTGGATGGAAAAACTTCCCATAAGCAATCTAGAGTGCTTAGGCACAAAGTACTTGGCTAAGCCTACAGCTAGCCAAGAGGAAATGCTAGACAAGAATATCTGAATGCCCTCTCCTCTTCGGAGCTTAGAAAACAACTCGGAGCTGCACATGAGCATCTCCGTTATCTTAGAACACAGCTTCCAGACGGGACGCATCAACAGTAGCAGTGAATTTAGCAAAAAACACTTGTAACCTCCATGCTTACTGCTACTCACAGCCAGTGGCAGTGCCCATGTTTTGTACAACAGCACAACGGTTAGCACACTTGCCCAGGAAGTCAGAGATCTAGATTTCAAACCCTACCATGTCAGGGAATATGAATGCACACAGAGATCTAGATTTCAAACCCTACCATGTCAATGAATATGAATGCACCCCTTCCACTTCCCAAGACAGTGCCCTAACCACCATGCTATGGATTAAGATTCTCCACCCTTCCAAGTGAAGCTGTCCCACTGCGTGGCCAAGAATGCAGTTCATGGAGCCAGATTAGCAAGCAAAATTCTGTAAGCTCAGTAAGAAAAGCTCTCCCATCGGAGTGGGGAGCCCTATGTTACAGTCCCTGCTTCCAAGGCTACTTCTATTGAAATCAGTTACTAGTCCCAATATCAGAGACCAAAACCCAAGACTCCTCCCCCTCACAGAAGTGCCCTTCTTTGAGCCAGTAAGAATCCCCCTTGCTTGTTCAGTTTCTGACCCCATAAATATCTTGCCCCCTTAGCTGCCCAAGGGAACAGCTTCAGCAGCACACAATACAAGATTCTGCAAGAAACGTTGAACCTTACTGTCTTCACATACTTTTGCAAGTCTGCTTAGACACAATTTGGTTCCGCAGTAGGAACTTACTATCTTCTTCAGACATGGGAATATTTATAAAGTACAGTTAACTTGCTTGTGGTGCTGTAAACCCAATACTGCCTACATGAACAAAAGGAAATTAAAAAAGAAAAACCCCACCAAAAAACCTTTGTCACTATAATATGCTAAAATGACCAATTGCAAACAAAGCAGGTCTGCTGGGTACAAACTTTTTTTTAAACAAGTCAGTTGTGATGGTAGAAATTTATTTTAATCTGCAAGTTGAGTTTTTCTAATGAATTTCCATGCTATCCTTTGTACTCTAGAGATATTATAATTCCTACTGCTGAAATCTGAGAGCACAGAAAACACTGAGAATTTTGCTTTTAAATTATTTCAAATAAAACATTTTCTAGAAAATTTATTTTCTTACCAAAAGTATAATTTTGTATAAAATAAATTGTTACACAGCTTATATAAAAGGTGAAGAGGTATACATAACTAAAATATATAGCTAGGGGGGTGTGTGTGTGTGTGTGTGTGTGTGTGTGTGTGCGCGCATATTGAAGATGTATTTAGCCGTATATAATACAGCTAGAATATACTGCAAGACACTAAAGCTCTTTCTGTATTAGTGTTAATTACAGGTCATCTTCTATGCTTTGTACAAGGTTATAGAAAGTAAGGTAAGAAACTAGGCATCTTAAAGAACATGGGAGACTGGTGCCTCCTGAGTCTGGGGGGGGGGCACCAGCAGCCAATCGCCAACCAGAAGAGGGAGGAAGGGGGAGAGGGGTGTCCCCCAGTGGCCGACTGTTGACCCCGGAAGCATCAGCAGCAAAACCAGAAGGGCCACTGGTGCTAAGCACTCCCACTCCCGGGACAGCGCCAATCTCAGGGGGAGCACCAGGTGGCACTTCTCTCTGTGCCCCCACTTGCCAGCAAGTACTAGCCAATCTTGGGGTGGGGAGGTCGGTGGGGGGCACATGCCTGCCCATGCCCTCCCTACGCGTCACCTATGCTAAAGAAACATGGAAATACTAACTTCTGCTTTTTCTTTTTGCATTCATTGCCCTTCATTGACAGTTAAATTACTATACTTGCCTCAAGTTGTTCATCTTTCAGTAGCTTTATTACCAACCATCTGATGTCACTGACAGCTTCTTCATTGTTGAGGAAGATAAACAGATTATAAAATACCATGGTCTGGAGGTAGGTTAGTACTGTATATCTAGCATGCCAAGAATTGCTTTTTGCTGTCTGCAAAGAGAGAGAGAACAAAGTAGTTAGAATTAAAAATAAGAGTATTTAAGTAAATTGTTGGTTTGTTTCAAAATCAAGTTATATATTTGGTTGTTGCTATAGCAAATATCAATTAAATATTTTATTCTAATGAAATATTTTATTCTACTGAGCTTTTTTTTCTTTTTTACTTGTTTTTAAGTTCAACTCTAAAGCATTTGAACATGTCAAATATTTGTAGTAAAGGATGTACAAAACTGAGGTACTAAACAGGTCACGACTTGTGGTTTATTCAGTCTGTCATTTGCCTTTTACAAATAAGCCAAAATGTTGGCTCTTCTCAGTTGCACATTGAAATCTTTTGCATATAGTGGACTTTGGAAAAAAATATGCTAAAAGTCACCATTTTATCCTACATGCAGGGCTCTAGAAGTCTAAACTATGAAAAAAGGTGTCCACAATGGGTACTTTTTCAAGAGATTTCAGTTCCTACTGTGTGTATTGACTATACTATACATGTAGCCAGTTTCTCCATTTCCCTTTACAGTCATTTTTTTTTTCATTTGTGTGAGTCTTCTGTAAAGTAGTGAAAAGGCATGTTTTTTAAAACAGAAAAATACTGTAACCCCTTACCTGACCCAAAAAGCAGGGGAACCTATTGCAGTGTGCTGCATTTTGACAATACATTTTGATTTACTTCTGAAATGAATTTCAAGTTGAGGATCTCTCTGAAGTGATAATTTTATTTGAAACTGACTCATTACTGAATCTACTGAACCAGTAGTTCTCAACCTTTAAAACTCAAGGTACCTCTCATTACACTCAAGGCAGCCCTCTGAAAATGCCAGCTCTTAATTTTTCACTTATTTTTTGACTGACAAGAAACGAAGTATTTCTTCTGTTGCAAAGAATGACTACAACAATTTGGAATATTTTTAATACTATGAATTCTTACTTGAAATCCCTAGGTTTATCTGGTGAATCATGTTCGCATACCTAATGGTGAGACACCCCACAGCACCCTTGAAAGGATCTCAAATAACCCTGGTTGAGAATTACTGATCTATAACTTAAAATTTTAAGAAATGAAAATACCTCTTTCCCCAGCAAAAAAATCTCGTGGGGGCCAAATGTTTAAAAGAATATTAAAACTTGAAGCAGATTTTGTTTTTCCTTTTAGAAGGTTTGTATTTGTAGTAAGAATGAACATTTCAATTTAATTATACTTTAAAACAATGGGCATAATTTTAGTAGAAAGATCAAATCAGAACTAAGCCCTTTATGAAAATTTTCAGTGCCTTGCTGTTAGTAAACATTTCTATTCAGCAAAAATTTTTAATGACTTTAATTAATGTTGCTAGTTAATTCTGTGCCAATTTCCATCTTGATGACCCAATACTAATAGAATCCATTACAGAACCTCCAGCAGAAACAGACAACTCTCCTCAGTGCTGCCTTTTTGCATGGTTTTCAGCAAATTACAATTGCAACCAAAAGTTATCTAATCACTTATTTCATAGATTTCATAGACATTAGGGCTGGAAGGGACCTCGGAAGATCATCGAGTCCAGCCCCCTGCCCAAAGGGCAGGAAGTCAACTGGGGTCATAGGATCCCAGCAAGATAAGCATCCAGTTTCATCTTGAAGGTGTTCAATGAAGGCGTTTGAACCACCTCCGGTGGCAGGCTGTTCCAGACCTTGGGGGCTCGGACAGTAAAGAAATTCTTCCTTATGTCCAGCCTGAAACGATCTTGAAGTAGTTTGTGACCATTCGACCTCATCATCCCTTGGGGCGCTCTGGTGAACAAACGTTCCCCCAGATGCTGGTGGTCACCCCTGATAAACTTGTAGGTGGCCATCAGATCACCCCTGAGCCTGCGCTTTTTCAGGCTAAAGAACCCCAGGGCTCTCAGCCTGTCATCGTAGGGTCTGCTTCCCTGACCTCTGATCATGCGCGTGGCTCTTCTCTGGACTCTCTCAAGCTTCTCCACATCCTTTTTGAATTGTGGAGCCCAAAACTGGACACAGTACTCCAGCTGCGGCCTCACTAAGGCCGAGTACAGGGGGAGAGTGACATCCCGGGATTTGCTTGAGAAGCATCTATGGATGCAAGCCAGCGTTTTGGTCGCTTTACTAGCCGCCGCATCGCATTGCTTAAGTTGTCAAATTTCGTTTTAAAGATAGCCCCAACTCTCCATACGCAGGAATGGCGGGGGAACCACAACAACACTTTAATATATGGTTGTTAGTAATACTTCTGACATTACTCAAGAATTTTGAGGAATCACCACTCTTCTCATTTACGATCGCTTCTGACTCCAGTGTCCACATCATTAATGAAGATGTTGAACAGTATGGGTCCAAGGACAGAGCCTTGGGGGACCCCACTGGTCACAGGACACCACGATGAGTGACTTCCATCGATTACTACCCTCTGGGTCCGACCCCGGAGCCAATTTTCCAGCCAGCGGATCGTGGAGGACCCAAGGCGACAATTGGCCAGTTTCTCCAAGAGGCGATCATGGGACACCAGATCGAAGGCTTTTTTGAAGTCAAGATATATGACATCAATCTCTTCTCCCTTGTCCAGGTGATAGGTCACCTGGTCGTAGAAGGAAATGAGATTGGTCAAGCAAGACCTACCCGCAACAAACCCGTGCTGGCTATCCCTTAAGATGTTGGCGTCGGCCAGTCCATTAAGGATGGCCTCTTTAATAAACTTTTCTAAGATCTTCCCCGGGATAGAAGTCAGGCTGATGGGCCTATAGTTAGCTGGATCCACTTTCCTCCCTTTCTTGAAGATAGGCACCACATTGGCCTTCTTCCAGTCTTCGGGCACTACACCAGAGCGCCAAGAGTTTTCAAAGATCCGTGCTAGAGGCTGGGCTATGATGCTCGCCAGCTCCTTGAGTACCCTGGGGTGAAGATTGTCAGGGCCAGCTGACTTGAAGGTATCCAGCTTCTCAAGATGTTCCTTCAGAAAGTCAGCATTAAGGGAGGGCAGGGGATCACCCTCACCCGGACTTCCCGGCCCTGTAGCGGGCATGGGCGTCCCATGGGACTGATGAAAGACTGACGCAAAGTACCTATTTAATAGGTTGGCTTTTTCCTGGGCGTCAGTTGTCAGTTGCCCCATCTGGCTCAGCAGGGGTCCAATGTTGCCCCTGCTTTTCCTCCGGCTCCCCACATATCTGAAAAAGGACTTTTTATTGTCCTTGATGCTCAAAGCTAGCTGGAGTTCAGTTGCAGCCTTGGCTTTCCTGGTCTGCTCCCTACAGGACCGGACCAGTGCAGAATAATTATGTTGGTTAAATTTGCTACTCCAACATAGATATGTGGGAAAAGCAGCTACATTGGCAACAGCGTTGCTATAGACAAAAAAAGAGAAGCAGAAAATAGTTCTGAAATGGCAGATTTTTGCACTTGCCTTAGCAGTCAATACATAGCTTAAATGATAATTAAGAACAAGCTTAGCACATTTCATAGTCTTACACTTTCGTTTTAATAACTTAGACCAGACTCACTTGTTTTAGCACCTGAAGTACCAAAGGCACTTGTTGAGGATACAGCAACCCCTGAGACATTAGTGATAAACACATCTTAGCATCTCTCTTGAGTTCATCATAGCTATTATCATTTTCTACTGGGGCAATCTGTAAGATAAGATCAAACAGAACACTCAGGAAATAACTGTTGCTGAAGAAAAATTACCTTATAACAGCAATATGTTATGTAGGAAAAAACAAAACTTCTGCATTTGTTTAAATAACTTTCAGTAGTAAAGATTAAACAACTAGGCTAGTCATTTCAGAACATGCACATTTATGACATTTCAGCATTTCTGTATTTTAAAATCTGTCTACTGAGAAACACTTAGCTGGTTTAAAGTTCAGTAAACATAAAACACTTACAAATGAGGAGTATCTTATGTCACAGCAACTTTGTAAGTGGATACAAAGCTCACCCGCTTAATACAGACATCATGATAATGAGTTTTATTGGGTGCCCAATGGTAAGACACACGTAGACAATAACATTTTAATATGAACTGCTGCATCATAAATGGCATGTAGATATTTCTACATTTGATAAAAGGTAATTAATTACTCATGGGGTAATAACATTCCCTTCTGTATGCATAAAATGTTAGAGATACAGGATATGTATATATTAGTTATTTCCAGAAGACAACTAAAAATAGTGGTTCCACCTTCTTAAGACCAAGGCTATCAGTTACACACACAAGCTTTTGTTGAGAAGGGTGGTACAAATTGAATAAATAAATGAATTAGCAAGTAAGCAAGGGCCAAGTGTGCTATATTTAAGCAGCTTTCTATTTCAATTGCAACTTTTTAGTTTTTTTCCAAACACCCTTTCAAACATGAACAATTCAGTATTAAAATGAAAACAAATTACCTTGAAAAACAAAGGTAAAAGCTGGAGTTGCTCTGTGACAGCTGTGGAGAAGGACCGACCTGCACTCGCCATCAACCATTTCAGGACTGTGTATAAGAGAGAAATGTTTATAGAATAAAAAGGTCAAAAACAAAAAACAAGTCAAGTCAGATTTACTAATAGTAAAACCCAAAAGACATTCACTTAAATCACTGGTGTTGTACTAGCAGCAAGTTGGACCCTGTATTCTTGGCATTAGAATTCACAAGCAAATCTCAGTAATATTGCTAATCAAGGAATAGTAATGTAAATTAGAGCACTCTCGGCTATCAACATCAGCTGGCAGCCCAAACTATAAGGGATACACAGAAACCTCTTTGGTATAAAGCAAAATTCTAGATTATAAATATTTATGGTGTTACACTGCCATAATACTCTGCAACTAAACATGTTCTGACAAGTGAAATTCAGCAACTCACTGGTTTTCAAGAGTTTAATGCCCTGAGTTCGCTCATCTTGTTCACCAACTCCATTCTCTTCCATTACATGATTCTGAATTTCTTCATCCACTTCCATAAGGGGTTTCAGTTTTTCAAGTATTCGTGTAGTGAATTCATGGATACGAGGGGACTTTGTTGGAGCAGTATTTGGCAAAGAAACATCTATCATGAATATGTAGGTCAAAACACTGAAAATAAATAGTTCAAGAGTTTAATATATTCATTTCACTGCACAACTTAAATAACAAGAATTGTTCAGTGACTATTGTTTGCTTCACTTTACTGAGTGAAACTGAATATTGCCTCTCTAGTAGATTACCTCCTGTCCCCACGTAAAACCTTTTGAAAACAAATGCTACCTGAAAGACTGAAATCTGACTCAGATGCCTGCCTGGAATCAAGTCATAACAAAATGCTACAGCACACCAAGACAAAATATTTTAGTACACCGAGCTGCTTCACTATATATAAACATTTAAATGTTAGATAGAACAGAAGAGAGAGTTGAGAATGTATGACCTTGCTTTGCCTTTCACTTTGTAGTTTAGGAAAGCAAGAGAAAAATAAGCTATTGCTGCTATTTCTAATAATTTAGATCAGGCATCTTTAGCGATTTCTAACAATAGGTATTTGGAAGGTAGGGTAGCTTGATAACATATTGCAATTTAATATCTAGAAATACTTTATTTACAATTACCATTACAATCACAGTCACAAACTTCTCCAAGACCGTCTCAGGCTGGACATAAGAAAGAAGTTCTTTACAGTCCGAGCCACCAAGGCCTGGAACAGACTGCCGCCAGAGGTGGTGCAAGCACCTATTCTGGATTCATTTAAGAGGCAATTGGACGTTTATCTTGCTGGGATCCTATGAACCCAGCTAACTTCCTGCCCCTGGGGCAGGGGGCTGGACTCGATCTTTCGAGGTCCCTTCAGGCCCCAATGAAAATAGATGAAAAAACCATGCACAAAAGAGGTCAACTGTCTGCCTAGAACTCTTTCCTCAAGATGGCAAACTGTAGGTCACATAGTATTTGTTACAGCCAAGTGTTTCTGGTAGACTTAACTCCTGAACATAACAAAAGCCATTATCCATAATTCGAACTGCTGTTGGCTGGAGTTTTCAAGACTTAGGGAACCTACCTAAACTGCAGCAGAAGTATGCTGTACAGTGGCTCTTTTAACCTTGCTCTTTTTGCTGTCCCCCTCCCCACAGCTGATTGGCCGAGCGTGCCTTGCAGCCCCCCTGCTGATTGGCCGGAAAGAAAAAGCTGCAGTTTCCGTGTCCTAGTCAATCAGCAACAAGTGGCGGTGCTGCTGGGGGCCCTTGCATAATCAATAGCAGAAGTAAAAAACGATGACATATTTAAAACTCCGGTTTTGCCTCCTGACCAATCAGCAGCAAGTGGCAAGGTCACCAGGGCCCCTTCACCAATCAGCAGGGGGGGCAAGTGCTTGGCAAAAGGAGCATGATTAAAGGAGCTGCTATGCAGCGCATTTCCACTGTGACTTTGGTAGGTCCCTAGATATAGGATTGTACAGTCACCAAGATGCTTTCAATTAATATTACCCATTACATTTATTCCACACTAAGCACTGGATACACGCAATTTCCAAAGCTTAAGAATTTTCAGTGTAAAGAACAAGAATGAAGAAATGACCCAAAGTTTGACATCAGCACTTACACTGCAATTTAAGGGCATTACTGTGGCACCTAACAGCCTCAGTAGTACACCCAATGTGCTGAGCAGTGTTCAGGTAGAAGAAGATCAACGACACCCCAGAGCATATTCTATTATTGAAAAATAATGATCCATATATGTACACACTGAACAAAACAACTACAGAACACTGACCTTCCTATTCTCTCTCTGACATTTTTGTAGACCTGTGTGAGTTTAGGTTCCAAGTACTTAAGCAATCTGTGCAACAGTTCTGGAACTCGCCATTCTTGCTGTGCAAGGCCACCTTGCAATACGTAGAGCCGGCTAGAAATCAGAACATCATTATTGTAACATTAACTACAAAAAGTTTTTCTATGCCCAAATCTTATTCCAAATGCTGGATGTAATCACAAAATAAAATAATACAACTGCTATATCAACAATGCATTTCCACAATACTTACTGAATCCTGTTAGAATGACGTTAAAGTGATGCACTTTACACAATGCCTTTGCCTGTGCACACAGACACAAGGGCTGTAGGGGAAAGGCACAAAAGCTGCAATTGCAAAAGGGTTTAAGTGGAGTATACAAATTGAAGGTGAAGCTCTGTGCCTTTCCTCCAGGCAGGAGGAAACACTGCTTGAAGTGAACTTGATACATCTCTATGGAAAGGGGAGGAGGGAGAATTTACTGATACATAATAAAAAACAAAGTTAAATTCTTACCATGCATCTACAAATGATCCTCCTTCACCACTTAAGGGAGACTCCAACAAGAGTTCAAATAAAAAGTGCAATTTCCGAGGATCTCTGCTTTCCTGAGGGAGAGAAGAGGGGAAATTTATATACGTCAATTATTGGAATTCAGCAGAATTCCAATTCTAACCAAAGCCATACAGAAGAAAGATAGATATTTGTATTGAATATCTTTAAGTCCTAAGAATGCTCTACTATGCAAATGAAAAATATTTTACCTTTCTCAAAGTAATCTGAGGAAAACAGAATCAGCACAAGACATAAATCATGATATTTTACTCATGAATGGCAAATCATTGCCATTACTCAAAAAATCTGGCAAAGTATGGATAAAAAAATTGTAAAGAACTTCAATTTTTGTAACAATTAAATAAAGCAACCAACTTATGAAAGGTATATGCATCTCGTGTACAGGAATCTTACTATAGTCAAGAGATTAACAGGGTTCCTTAAACTACTTAATCTGAGTTTTCCCAAATTATTTTTGCCAAGCATATGAAAAAGCTCTATACTTTATATTTTAGCAAATGAGGACAGGTCCATCATCCAAGTTCAAAAAGGATATAAAAGAGTTTAGTACAGGCAACCCCCACTCAGTGCTTTTAATTGGTTCCGGAAAAAACGAGCGTTAAGCAAAACCATACTAAGTGAAACCCAATTTCCCACAGAAATTAACGTAAATAAATACAACTCACCTGCCCTACCCTGGGCCTCTGCCAGCCCTGACCTCAGGGCACCGGCATGGGCCCTGCACTCAAGCCTGCCCACCCAACTTGCTGCTACTCACCACTTCTCTCCACCTCACTGCCCACCAAAACTGGCTGTTTCCACTGAGTGCTATAACGAAACTGGCTGAGTGCTCAGTGGAATCAGGTATGAATTTTAAATAAGCACTATAGCAAAATAGTGCTAAGCAAAACTGTGTTAAGCGGGGGTTGCCAGTACTAGTTATAAAACATTATAGTAAATGCATAAATATTAACACTAGCTTTAATAGAAAGACACCCGTAGCCCCCCAAAAACCCCAATGGAAGCAGATGAAACTTTACGTTTCCAGAAACAAAAGCAGATGATCATTTTCTGTAGTAATTCAAGGACTAGTATAAATACATATGTTTAGTAGTATTTAGTACTCTAAATTCCATCTTAACACAATAAATTTAAACATTTTTTCTCCATGAAAAATTTAGGCAACACTTTACCGTTATCTATTCAATCTTACAAAAAACCCCAAACAAAGTTAAATAATATGGAATACTTACACAGGAAGTTGCTATGCATGTGCCCCAATCATTATAAGTTTCCACTGTGATGTTAGATAAAGCTGTTCGAAGCAATGGACAGAGAAGCATCCAAAGTTTCTCTACCTGATGAACAGAAGGCAAGAAGATGTAGTTTTTCCATTTTGGGTTCCAATTAAACTGCTCTAAGTCAAACCTCCCACCCCTTTCTTCCACCCCCACAAAAAGCAAAGTGAGCTTCTTGCAGAAGCTCAACATTCCAGTCTTAAAAATACTGCCATGAAAGAGACTGGTAAGATCCCTTTCTGTTTTGTTTACAGGTGTTTTGAAGTACCATAGGAGTTGCACAGTTTATCACTGTTGCTTCTGTAGGCTGAGCTCCTTACAGACACCAGAGACTCCTTCCATTCTCCAGCTCCCCACAAGTTTATGCGTTGCCTTCCCATCCCTTTGTATTTGAGGACTCCCCTGAAAGCCCTTTCTCCTATGCAGTGGGTTCAACTGCCCCCTCTTTTTCCTGCATGCCATTTCCTTTCCTGTCCCTCTTTTTCCTGTATTCCTTGTTTTCCCTCTACCATCACAGAGGCATTATGTATTATGTGTTTCCATTTTCCACCTCCTTGCCTCATAAGGATCCCCTATGCCTCAACTCCACGCTTGAGATGGTGTATGAACTCCTCAACTACATCAGGGGCCTGTAATGCTTCTCCCATTTCTCATCACCCCACTTCCCTCTTCCTCCACCATGGACTGGTCCACCACTCTCTGCTGCCTGTGTGCCCTATCCCACTTGCCTCTGCACTGCTCCCAGCAGTCTCATCTTTTTTTCAGATTGGCAGTATTTTAAAACTCTACTGTGAAGCAAGAAGCAAGACTAAGGTAACATTTTGATAGTAGGTATTAATGGCTTCCATTAAATGATTCTTTCATTTACTGACAATTGCAGAAATAGACCAAGGCACCTAGAAGTCAGTGCTCAACTCTGGGGGTTTCTTGCCCCCAGGGCAATGTCATCTGGCTCAGAGGGCTCCCCACAAGTCTGAAAGTTGAGCAGTGGGAGAGAGGTTGACACTCCCCTGCTGCCAAATTCCCAGACCCATTGAGAGCCCCACAACCCAGACACCAGGGCTCTGTGTGCTAGATCACACATGCAGGGCAGCATAAGGCCCAATCCTGGCATGTGGGAACGGGCGGGGCCAATCCCAGCAGATGGGGTTGTGCAGGGGTGGCACAGGGCATCATGGCTCAATCCTGGTGCATGGGGCCAAGCACAAGTAGCATAGGGCCCAATCCCAGCACAAGGCCCTGTGTGGCACACCAGGGCCCAATCCAGACATGCAGGGGCTGGCAGAAGCCACACAGGGCCCAATCCAGCCTGTGGACAGGTCCTACACTATTCATCTTGCCTATAGGCCCAAAACAGTGAGTACCACCAATTTAAGCTGCAGGCAATTCTTCAGCCCACACATTAACATGTAAAGAAAGGTTAACAAACTATCTACCCAAAGAACCTTGCCTGCCAACAAACCAACAAGAATTTATTTCTTTAAAAAAAAAATCTTCAGAATATTGAAGCATTCAAACACACACACACACCACTCCTACCTTTTCAAATGTCCAGTGTTTAGAGCCCCTTATCAAGCCAGCTATGATTTCAGCTACACATCGCTGAGTACTTTCATGACAGTCTGCTACTAGCCGTTCCAAATGGGGCTTTAAAACTAGCAAGAAGGCATCGTCAAAGTTTCTGAACAGGCCCTGTTAAGTTTGGTTACAAAATAGAAATTCAAAGCATTTATTATTTTGGAATTATTCTACACCACTTCCAAGTTTTTAAACATTATTTTAAATTTTAGCTTAATGTTGATGTGAAATATCCAGGTCCATAAAAACAACAGCCTGTATTGTTACTTCTACTGAACTGCTAAGGCATCATCTCTTTCGAATATTTTATTTCTTATTTACTATCCTGAATTCTTTTGAAAAATTTGCTCCATCTACTACTACAGCTGATACATGAGTGTAGATACGGTACAGTAAAATGGATAATACACGTGGATGCATTAGAAAGTCACCAAAAACGTGTGCAACTGAGTGGGTGCATCTACACAAGACGCTATGGCACAGTAGCAACAAGCTACTGCGCTACAGTGTTGCTGGGCATGAACTGTTGCTACTGCACAGTAGCCTCTAAAAATAACCATGCAGTGATGGGATGGCACAGTAATGCCAATTACTGCATAGTCATTCAGTACTTGCTTAAACAAGTACTAAATGACTGTGCAATCTGCCACACGTGTGGAAATACTCAGTGTGTTACACTTCCAATGCGTTATTACTTCAAGGCAGTTAAAAAAAATTCAAATCTCAACCTGCAGTAAAATTAACTTGTTGCTTCTCCTATATTTAAATGAAAACACACCCAAGTCTTTCATAATCTCAGCGAGGCAATCTACATACCCTAGTGAGGCTAATCAAAATCGCAATTATTGCAAAGCTTCCAACAATATTAACAGCGATGGGATGGATCCCTGTGCATGGTTTTCATGTTTATTTGATCATTTTATCTACACAAAGAAAGCAAGTTACGCATAGAAGTCTTGATACCTTGAAGAGGCAAAATCTGCGAGGATTAAATTTGTCTTTTCCTTTTCGGTCTTCTAAAGATAGGAACTTTATTAACTGCTCAACAAATTTCGGATCAGAAAAGTGATCATATATAGCTTGCTCTGCCTATAAAAGAAAAACAAGTGAGAGTTTAGTCTATTTGTAAGTTGCTCGAACCACCATGATAGCACCCACCTTATTTAGTCAAAGTCTTATTTTTTATTTCATTACTACTTCAATCGAGCAGGACCTCAATCATGTACAGGCTGTTCACTTTCAATCATTCAAAACCAGGGCAGGCAAAATACAGCCTGCAGGCTGGATCCAGTCCATGAAATCATTCTATCCCACCTAAAGGGCCGCTCCAAAAAACTATTACCAGCTCACGGCTGTCCCACTGAAAGCTGGTGGGAGGTGCGGGCTTTCAGAAGTCATGTGCCATTGGATCAGGCAGGCTCTGTGCCTCCACCTCCGTGCAGCTCCTGACACTCCAGCTGGGAGCACCACGTGGAGGTGTAGAGTGCGATGGCACACAACTGGACAGCTGGTGAGTAGGGAGGGCAGCTCCTGCCTGCAGTGCCAGGAGCCCCATGTGGAAGCACAAAGCCAGCCCAGGCCAGTGTGCTCTTGGCTTGAGTGCCAGAAGCCATACGTGCTGTGACGGAGCCATCCCAGCCAGCCCAATAGCCCACGGCTCCCGGAAGGAGTGCCAGGAGCCACACGTGATGGCATACAGCCAGCTCAAACTGATGATGCATGGACTGGAAACCACAGGGAGTCGCATGCCATCAGGCCAGGCAGGCTCCACGCCACCACACACAGGTCCCGGAACACCTTCTAGGAGCTGCTTGCCATCAAGCCGGCCAGGCTGGCTCCATGTCAGCATGTAGCTGCAGCTGGGCTGGGCTGGCTTCATGCCTCTATACGGGGCTCCCAGCACTGCAGGCAGGAGCTGTGCACCATTGGGCTGGGCTGGGCTGGCTCTGTGCCTCCACACAGCTTCCTGCTGGAGTGCTGGGAGCCCCATGTGGAGGCACAGAGCTAGCCTGGTCTGGCCTGATGGCACATGACTTCTCACCTGCACTGCTGGGAGCCTGATGTGCTCGTCTGCTTTGAAGGCACATGCCAGCAGGCCAGCCCAGCTCCATGCTACTACCTGCAGATCCTGGGACTCAGCCGGAGAAATGCGCCACTGGGGGGTTCTGCCTGCTGGGGGCCATGAGCGCACTGAGCGTCTGCTGCCTGCTGCTGCCACCAGCAGCAGGGGCTGTGTGCCATGGCATGTGGCAGGGGGCCCAAACACCCCCACAAACCCCACACCCATACCCCACACACAATATACAAGAATAAGACTTTATTTTGAGCTGTTATGCAATATCCCCCCATACATTATGCAAACACACACAAATCAGGACAAAAATATTTTCTGAACAAAAATTAATATATATGTTAATAGTCGATTTTGGATTTTTAGTATACAATTTGTTTTTTTTCTGGTTCCAAGATGGCAAAACCCCTTCCCAAAAAGAGTACACCCTGTAGCAAAGGTCAGAGGTCCCAAGATGGCGATCGGGGGCAGGGCACCTTTCAAGGGGTGGGGCTACCTTTGACGCCTTCAACAGCTCACCAAAAGTTGTTAAGCAGCACCCCCAGCTGAAATAATTCCCCACCCCTGTTCTAAACAAGAGTTTTGTCAACAACTTAATGCCAGCAAGCTTTTCTGTGCATCATAATATTCATTTCCCTCCAACTAACACAACCCCTAGAAAAGCCATTTAAATCTGCACTGACAGCAATGAATCAAATCTGTCCTTATGACCACTCTCCTGACCATGTCCAGTTCTTTATTGTTCTATAGCTGTATATTAGAGAAACAGAAAACAAGACTGGTTTTTGGTAAGCAACAAGGATCCCACCTAATATAAAACATGTGCCCCTTTTGTGGCAGCTTTCCTAAGCTTTATTTTGGTTAATTTTTCAGTTATATTTTGAATACTAAGCTCTGGCTCTCAATTGTATAAGAATAACTATGCCATCTTTTACACAGCTGCTTTATTAAGTGCCCATGTTTCCCAAAAACTGGAAATCAATTGCTATATTCCCAATTTAAGTATACCCCTCCAGTCAAAAATTACCTTCAGTAACACAACGTAAAATATCATAAGTATTTCAAATATACATACTATACTGCATCTGCCATGTGGCGCCAAATGTGAAGTGGTACAGGATGCACAGCACTTGAAATGCATGTATCCAAGCCCTTAGAAGTCAGATAAGAATCTGTGCTAGTTTTGAACCAGAATAATCAATACTCACAACATGGCGGCTTACCTCTAACAACTCCTCTCTTCCTCGCCCAAGCTTTGGCTGTTGATCAGCAGGAGCATAAACTAACATGTTTCTAGGAATTGGAGAAAACATGCATTAACATTTTTCAAGATAAAAGGCAAAAAAAATGCATACATTACCTTCTATTTATCTACATTATATTTAAAATGTATATCATAAATACTTATGATATCTAGCCTTAAAAAGGCATTACTGGAACAAACTCAATCCAGCACTGCTATTGTAAGATTTTTGCAAAATGTATGAACTGTGCATGTAATTCCAATGAAAATAGTTAACCAAATAAAATAATCCCATTCAAGGTTTACAACACACAAAAATAATCAAAATGAAAGCATTTGTAATAATTTGCACTCTATGGAAAAATAGAGTTTATATTCACGGCCCAAACAAGAAGTGCATAAAGTACCAGCAGCACAAATAAAAAGGCAAACATAGTTTAAAAAATATTCATGTTCAATAAAAGGTAATAACGTTAAAATAATAAATAAATAAAGTGTCCATTTTAATGCTAACCGCATTAGTCAGAAACATTGCTTTTCTTGTAGCATTTTGCCCCTGGAGCATGTCATTTAATACTCACTGAGGCCAGGTATAATACCCCCAGTGCGTCTTCTCCACAAAGCAGCACGATTCCCAAGCTTGTTTAGTCTTTGGTAAATTTTGACCATCATAGTGCAACCACTGGTTATCAAGTCTGTCACCAGCCTGAATGCTAGGAGGCTTAAGATTTCCACCTATTTTGAAAAAAAATTCATACTCTTATCAAATTTTTTTTTTAGAGAGCTGATAGTCCCAATCATGGTTATATCTCTTTTAGCATTTTCAAGTGACTTCAAGAAATCATGTTTTTTGAGAAGCCTTCTTCAAATGAAGTCTGTCTTGGAAACATAATGAAGACATCTTTGTACAGAGCTCTCTAGGAGCTTTGGCCACGTTGTAACTAAAGAGTTAACATTTGCCAATTAACCAGGGAAATAACTGTAAATGTAAATAAATAGATACTCTATAACCAGGTACAAATGTTTATGAGGCATCTACATTTTAAATATTCAACTTGATTTAAGACTTCTAGTGTAAAAAGCAATGCCGCTCCCCACAATGCCAGGCTGGAGCATCCCAGGCAGCAGCAAGCAGGGTGCGCGTGGGCTATCCACCCCTGCACAATTACAGGAAGCCAGAGACGCCCTGTCCAGCTACAGCAAGCCTGGGTTTCTCAAAGCAGCAACAAGCATAGGGAAAATCCCTGTCCTACCCCATCCCATCAGCTTCCCCACACAAGCACAGGGAACCCAGGATATCTTGCCCAGCCCCATCTGCCAAGCAGCAGCAAACACAGGAAAGGGAGAAGAACAGGGAAGGAACCCCTGGCTCTGCTCCAGCTGGGCAGGGTGTCCTGGCTCCCTGCGTGTGTGTGGGGAGGGGGGGGGGGGGGGGATTTCCCACCCCCCACAGCTTGCTGCTGTCTGGGAGATCCAGGCTAGAGCCCAGCAAGATGCCCCAGCAAGTTGGGGGAACTGGGAGGAGGATCCACCCCTGCTCCCCACCACTGCTTCCCAGGAAAACCCTGGGGGTTCTGGGGGGATGACTCAGCCTTCCAGTGGTGCTGCTGAGAGCCCCCACCTGGTCAGCAGTACAAGCTGTTATCCCTTTTTCCTTCCTCCTGACAGCCTGACCCATACTCGTGTAGCCGTAAACACAGTGCGATTGGAATAACGCCTAGTCACCCTACAAATAATTTCAAATATAAATATTTTAAAGTGATCCTTGGAACACTGTTCATCCTCCAAAATTTCTGGAAACACTACTTTGACCATCCTTCAGCTTATTTTAACTAAGTTTTCCCAAAATCTAGATAGAAGTTGAGTATATGAACCTAGCTTGAAGTAGTATCAGCTTGCAAGTACCTAAACCAAGAAAGAAGAACAAAGATAGTACTAACTTTAATTTAGAAGTTGAAAGTTACCCTCCCCTTAAAATATTAAGAAACAATTTGAAATCTCTGAGAGGTGTTGGGTACTTTGAAGCACCATGGAGAAGAACTGATGAAACGAGTTGAAAACCTGCAGTGAAAATAAAAACTGAACTTATGATATTTCTATCAATAGTTGGGTGCATTTTTTTGTTAGTTTCCATGGTAATGCCTGCACCAGAGCAAGATAATCCCCCAAACTGAGGCTGATTTTTTTTTCTAAAAGCAGTGTTTTCAGAGCTCTCTATATTTAGTCCGAGGGTGTAGGTTGTAGCCGTGTTGGTCTAAGGACATAGGCAGTCAAGGTTCTTTGGATGAATCTGATATCTTTTATTAGACCAACTTAAATAGTTGGAGAACAATTTTTAAGCAAGCTTTTGGGTTCAAAAACCCTTTGTCAGGCTAAGTTGATGACACTTCCTTAGCCTGACGAAGGGTTTTTGAACCCAAAAGCTTGCTTAAAAATTGTTCTCCAACTATTTAAGTTGGTCTAATAAAAGATATCAGATTCACCCAAAGAACCTTGTCTGCTTATATTTCGTAGGCATTTGGGTTCTTCAGAATCAGAAAAAGTCAGCTCTTCTATTAACAAATATAGAAATAATATAAAAGAATCTCTTATTAAATACTTTTCAAATATCACATAACATGAATATGGCTGGAATAAGATTTGAAAAAAGTAGAGGCATGCAATAATACAACTGACCTGAATGTGTGCTCATTCAAGTTAATGCAAAGTTCCCACCACCTTCAAAGAGGGATGATCAAGCTCGTGTCTTATACATTAAATGTGATCATATTTTTAACCCTCATTACAACCCACTGAATTAATAAAATTAACACATTTTGTTTTAAGGAGAAAACAAATTCTAGTTAGGCTACTTATCTTGTTTATTTATTTGCTTAAAACATTAACACCTTGAAGAATTCACAGAACACAGACTGTTTTATTTGTAAGCTAGTTGAGGAAGGTATTTTCAGAAAATTTGAAGGAGAGACTTTAAACATTTATCAAATACTTACTGACTTCATATGGGCAGATGGACACCGTTTTGTGGACTCTCTTCAGCTGCTTGAGAATGCCAGCAACAGCTGAAATAGCCATCTAAAAATAAGAATCTGAGGATTAGTGTATCCATTTCACATTTTCAGTGGAAGAACTGGTCTGTATTCACATTATGGCCACTCATCTTACTAACGCAATGCTTAGTGGCATTCCCTCAAATGTATAACTACCACCATTAAGCACACCAGTAGCTGAGATTGCCTCCTCAGGAGTTGCAGTCCACACCTGACAACCTTTTTTATTGTTTTTATTTTTTCATCTTCAAGTGCTGGAAACACTAATGCAATGAGCGCAATAAACCAAATGAATAGTATACATAGAAAGCAGAGATGAACATCCTTCTGCACTGTGTTTAAGCTCTGTTAACCAGAACTCCTGAACTGATTACGTTTAAGGGAGATACCATAAAAAGGAATACTAGCATAAACAGAGTATTCACTGAATTATACATGTAAGCTTCTACAGCTAATGCCACTGTCACTGAACTTCCTAAACTAATTTTTACAGTGGCAAAAATTAGCGTGTACCCATGCAGTCACTCACAGGTACATAGGGCTCTGTACAAAACATTTACACTTGGACCAGAGATCCACCTGAAAGTGGGAATTTTCAACAAGTATGAACTTTACCTTACGAACCACAATGGCATCATGGGTTAGACACTGCACAAAGAATCTTATGGCACGGACAGGCAGCACCCTATCATCTCTCAGGAGCAAGGATAAAAAGCCAATGCCTATGTGCTCAAATTTCCAGGGGCTGAAAATCAAAATGCAAAAAGCAATAATGGAGAAGACAGCACCTTACACAAAAATGCTTATAAAAATATATCTAAAAAAAAAAATCAAAAAAAAAAAATCACTGAAGTTAAGCAGATGTAGTAATAAAATAAAATGATTTAGGGCAGTTAAATACAACGTCTATTACTCAGAATCGTATTGGGCAGAATACTTTTAATACCAAAAACTGCTAATTCTTAGCAGTGGTAAATAGAGAGATCAGCACATATGAATACTGCGATCCCACAAGCTTAACAGAACCTGGCCACTGCACAGCAGTCTGGCTGCTAAATACTACGAGACTATGTAATGCATCCGAATTGAACACACTGGGTGCAGCTACACGAAATGCTTACTGCAGTTGCCTAGTCAGGTCCACAGTAAAGCATCACCATCTACACGAGCAGAGCTGTCAGACCAGAGTAAACTAACTGTGCCATAGGATAGTACTGCCCAACACAAGTACTCTATGGTGGAGTTACTCCACCGCAAGGCATGTCTAGATTGTGTATAGATTGTGCTGGCTAGCCCCGCACTGTAGCACCCTCCTGCCCCAGCCAGCCCTTCTGCACCACATTGAGCCTGGGCAGAGAGCAGTGTCAGGCTGGCAGGTTGACTCTGTGGGTCCCTGCCAGCTGGGGCTATGCTGCCCCAGCTCAACATGCTGCAGTCCTGGGAGCAACAAAGTCCAGAGCAAACTGCACCGAGTTTATTATGCTGAATTAGTTTACGTGCACACGTGCCCATTTTGTTTTATTCTGAAACATGCACCTTGTACCTGTTATAAACTAAATAGCTGGAAAGAATAGATAATTAAGCACACTGTCCCATTTCTCTTCCCTTTTCACTATAAGGGAGGCAGAAGACCATTTGTGGAGTTAGTCAGTCCCCAAATCCATGACAATCCGTGAAATAAGACAAAATAAAATACATTTAAAAAAAAGACAAATAATAATCAAAAGATCTGTAGTATCTTATCTAAACTGCATTATAAAAAACTTATGCTCGTCTGAAACGAAACTCAAAGATAACATATCCTAGTCACTTAAACTACCCATTTTACTATTATACATTTTATTACTACTAATGTACCCCCTCCCTTTCTTCAAAGGAGCTTACAGAAGAACAAACTTACAGATTTCTTTTTTCCACACAATCTAAGAGCATGTTGACCAAATTCTCATAGTTTCTGAAAAAAATAAAACCAAAATGAGCATCTAGAGAGGAAGACCTTCTAGTCTCTATTGAGACCAAGCAGCGCAAAAAAATGTCAAGACCTCTTTAATCCAAAGTCAAAATAAACCACAGTCAGTGATAAATGCACAGCATTTGCAGCATTAGTAATTGTAATTTTGGGAAGGTGGAGGAGCAGCAATGCTACTGAATTGAGGAAGAACCACCAAAAGATTACTTTATCTCAGAGACATTGAAGATACAACCTTGTGGGCCAGACTTGGCCCACGAAGCAGTATCACACAGGTTGAGGTGCTGTTGGCAGGGCCAGAAATTTGGTGGTGGGGCAAATGGCAGGAGCATTAATTGCCATGGCCCCCAGAGCCACATCAGTCATGGCTCATATATCACCACCACTTCTCTCCTATTACTGCAGCAGTGATATTCCCTTATTACCAAATCTTCCTAGAACACCCAGGAAATCGGCCCCCTCATTTTCTCTTCATAAACACTTCAAGAGGGTGATTACATGTAATAAAGCTGAAATAAAAAAGGTATACAACAGCAATGCCAATTAAACGGACTACAAACCAAGATCTCAAATTCACAAATGTAACCTACTGTAAAATCTGAAATATAGTTGTTTTAATGGGTACTTATAACACGTCTATGTGAAAATGCTGTACTGACAACAGTTATTACAAGAATGCACCAGTAGTGAGCTCAAGATAATATGGCAGTGGTTCTCAAACTTTTTAGATGCAAGGCACCTGTTGTAGGACTCAAACCACCCCTCAGCAAATGCCAACTTTACAGAACCAAAGCAATTCAACTGTTGCAAAGAATTCAGAAAGACCACAACAGGTGAGTGATTTTTACACTATTTGAGATCTATAGTTTTATCTTGTGAATCACCGAGATGTGTGCCGACCTAACAGTGCTAATACCACATGACACCCTTTATGAAAAAAAGGTCTCATTTTGGCACAAGCAGATGCTATGACACACTATTGCTAATCACTGCATTATAGTGAGGAGTATGATATAAGAATGTATAGAGGCTAACTGAAGTCAGTGGCATCCCTTCAAATGCAAATGAAGAGTCCTGAAAGTCAGTTCTACTGACAAAAAAATAGAAACTTGAAACAATGAAGTAAAAAAAAGATCAGGTTTTGAAAAAAGGATTATTTTTTAGAATCAGTGGCAAGGAGCCTGCCCCAGTGCATCCCCTTCCCTGCATCCTACCGCTTTTCCCCTCTCTCCCTCCAGCACTAGCACCAACCTCCCTACCCCTTCATTCTCCTCCCTACTGGAGAGGGGTGTTGGCCCATGGTACAGCTGGCTCACAAGCACTTGGGTCCACTGGTCCAAAAGGTTGAGCTCCACTGCTCTACATAAATCTCACAAACGGGTCTCAAAACTTTAAAAAAAAAAGCAAGCAATTTTTCCTCCACAGAAGTTACATTCATTATACTAATCTAGATCAATTAGATATCAGCTATCAACTTAATGAATTAATCATCTAAAAGCTACTATAACATTACAGCTGTGTATAGTTAACCAAAGACTAGCTTACTGCAAAGCCTCAGCATTCTTTTCCTTCTGGCGCTGAATTCCTAACTGAATCTCTTCTGATGTTAGCATTGTCAAGTTGGTGCTGGGGTGTTCCGATTTTTGCAGCAGTACAGCTATCTCAGTGCACTTCTTTGGAACCTGTTGACCAAAAGGGAAACATTCAGCTAACCAGCAGCTTGTGAACTTTCTAGTATCCTTTCAGAAGAGGTTAATACTCAGTTTTCTGTAACTACTACTGAGGTAGTTCAAGCTTCTCCTTGGTTGTCATTTCTCCAAATATGTCATTCTTAATTTATGAAGCAAAGATAAAAATATATAGATGGAGTGGTGACTGCATTTGATTTAAAGGATAAACTATGCCTTAAAAATTTAACCTTAAAAAAAAAAAAAAAAAAAAGGTAAAATATTTTAGGATAATGCCTCCAAAACCCTTTTTCATTTAGGTAAATTTAGTGTTTCAGCTCCGAAAAAGGTGAGCAGACATAACACAGAGCAAAGACAGTGCAAGCATCTTCACACACACCACTACACATCAGCCACAACCTGAAGGGACCACCCTTAGCAGAGGTGATAACCAGGGATCCTGGTTTTCTGATTAAAAATTGTGAATTCTCTAGTTAAAAACCCAAAATCCATGATAAAAATTAAAGGCCCCCCAAAGCCCCTCCCAGTGCTGCTAGTGCCCTGCATTCCCCAGTCTCAACAGCCCTCCTGATGCCCCTCACAACAGCCCCCCAGACTGGACCCACAGACAGTGAGTGACACTGACACCCACCCCAGCAGGTAAGTGTGTGTGGGGGGCAGGGGCGGGGCAGGGTGGGGGAAAGGGAAGGTGCTGGGAGTGTATATCAAGAAGCGGGGAGTGTGCCCCTGTGCTCACTCCCAGGAGCAGGGCCAGGGGGTGAAGGCAGGGGTACCACTCTGTGGGCCACATGCACGCCGGCCAGCCTGACAGGAGGTTCGCACACGGAGGCTGCCACTGCGCCATGCACTACCATCCCACGGCCACCCGAATGGCTTTATGCGCAAGTGGCGCAGGGTGCGGCAGCAGCAGTGTGGTGGCAACCACCATGTGCGGGCCACATATGTGCCGCCCGGCCGGGGGGTGAAACAGGGGGCTTGCGTGCAGTGGCATGCTCCACAACTGGCTGCACAGCTCCGCGGTGGTGTGGGGTGGTGGCGGCTGCATGCAGGGTGGGGGGGCTTTGTGGGTAAGCGCTGCCACCGTGGAGCCATGCCCTTCGCCCCTAGATCCTAGAGGTTAGTGGGGCTTGGGGGCTGTGGGGCAGGGCTGAGGGAGGATGGTTGGGGGCTGAGGGAGAATGGTTGGGGGCTGAGGGAGCAGGGGGTGCTGCCGGCCCCAGGGGGCACATAACAGCTGGGAGCAGGGCCAGGGGGTGAGAGCAGGGGTGCCCCTCTACAGGGGGCTTTGCAGGCAAGTAATATGGGAGGCAGTGTAGTGGTGCCCGCCATATGCAGGCCACACACATGCCGCCTGGCTTGCTGCCCAGGGGAGGGGGAGGCTGGCATGCATCTGGAGCATAGCTCTGTGGCCAATGCTGCAGCCATGGTGTGGGACGGGAGTGGCGGGG